GGGGGGGGGGGGGGGCGGGGCACACAAGGACGAGGATTTGCCTTCCTTTCTTCCTGCTGTTATTTCCTGTTTTTTTTTTCTCCACAGCCACGCTCTTTTTCCTTGTATAATAAAATATGCCAAGACTCTGCAAGGCCCCCCCGCAGGCAGCGGGGTCTGGGAGCCGGTGCGGGCTCCGCCCCCCCGCCCACTCACCAGGGCGATGCTGACGGCATCCTCATACTCCTTCGTGAGGACGCTCACCAGGGCGGAGGCCAGGAGCAGCAGGATCAGGGGGTTCTTAAACTGCAGAGAGAACACAGGGTGGCTGGGCAAGGGTGCGGGGCTCTCTTCTAGTCCCTCAGCTCTGCGCTCAGGGCCGGGCTTCAAGACCAGCACTACAGTGACCCCAGGGCTCAGGAGGAAGACCGCCCCCTCCAAAGGTTCTCCTCCACCCGAAATCCGCTCCCCCCACCCCCGCGGTTTCATTGACACTGACTTCCTGGGGGTCGTCCAACACTGTGCCTGTCCAGACAGCGGCCCTGGCCCTGCCTTGGAGTTCTTGGTCTCCACGACACTGAGCCTGTCGCGTCTCCACGACACTCCAGGTCCCAGCCCCTCTGGTGGCTTGCCAGCTCTGGTCCAGCATGGCCAAGGGGTCCCCTTTGCTACGCCAGGTCCCCAGGGCCATGTATCCCAACCACACCAACCTGCTCCTCTCACTGCCTCTGGGGGCTCCAGGGGTGTCCCTCCTGAGAACGGGTGCCGCAGAAACTTCCCAAAAGGATTTTTACTTTATTGCCTTGTGTATCTACTCCCTCATTTCACAGATCTATTACATAGTAGCTCATGTTACAGCCCATTGAAAGGAAACATAAAGACAAACTCACAAAAACAGGGAGAGAGGGAGAGTGGACCAAAGATCAGGATCAAAGTAGGGGTTAAAATACCAATATGCTAGTCTTATTTTTGTGGTTTCAAATGGGGCTGTGCATTTGGCCTTGAGCTTCCCAGCAGCCAAGGCAAAAAGAGAAACATGATCAGATGTGTGATTCATGCTGCTCATGAAAAGAAGCACATCAGTGTCATACCAGTGTGGTGCATGAAAGGATTTAATGCCCCTTACTCCCCACCCCAGACTTGCTGGGCTTCATCTCCTCTGAACGAGGGACAGGACATTTTGGGGTAAGGTCACCAGCAGCCCTGAGTTAGCCACAGCATCTATTTTGAATCCTCAAGACTGAACAACTTGAAGACATTCCACCTTCTTAGCTACAATCTTTCTATGATTGTATCAAGAACTTGAAACATGCATTAAAGTTTCTGAGATGGACCTTATTCAATTAGCTACAGGCTTCTCCCGAAGGGTGAAGACTTCCGGATATAAATAAACCATCCCAAAGGGTGAAGACTTCCGGATATAAATAAACCATCAGTTAATTTTATGGACTCCGTAAAGCATTCCATGAGCATGAAGTCACAGATTAGAAAAAGGCCTTAGATTAAAACAGTTGCAGGGACACGTCACCCAAAAGCCAAGGGTAGGATTTGTTCAGACTTCGCTTCGAACAAAACTGTAAAACGGCGTCTTTGAAGCCTGTGGGGAAAACGGACTGCGGACTCGGCACGTGAAGGGGACCAGGCCAATGAAGTGATAATGGTACTAGCGGGACAAGAGTATTGTCGTTAATGGTTTAAAAAAAAGGGAGAGGAAAGAAAAAGGAACACGTCCTCTAATGATAGAGATACGTAGCAAAGTACAGATGGCAAAGGGATTGAAAATCTTGAATTTGTTTTAAAATGCTGCAGAGAAAAAGGGAGGGATAAAAGTGGGTCAAATGGATGGATAATTATTGAAGGCAGATAATGGATATGTGGGGGTCATTATATTATTCTACTTACGCATATTTTTGAAAATTTCCCTAATGAAAGATTTTTAAAAAGGTTTTGGCCAGTGAAGTCCCAATTTCGGTTCTGAGAGCATCTGACAGCGCTGGACGTGGGTGGGTCTGGGGGAGCTTGCAGAGGGAGGGGCTGCGCTCAGTGCTGCCTGGTGGAGCTCACGGCCAAGGCCACACACTTGCCGGTGGAGGTGGACACACCCTTTCCTCAGAAATCCGGGTAGGATGAAGTCGAAGAGCAGAGGGAAACTCGAGCTCAGGAAAGCCCAGCGGAGGGTGCATTAGGTCCAGGGCTGCTGTGATAAATGACCACAGCCTGGGGGCTTAAAAGAACACTGTAGGCAGATTCTCTCACACTTCTGGAGGCCAGAACTCCAGATAAAGGTGTTGGTACGGCCAGACTCTCTCTGGTGGTTCTGGGAGAGAATCCTTCCTGCAACTTCCAGCCTCTGGTGGCGGCCAGCCATCGTGTTGTTCTTGGCTTGTAGACACACCCCTCCAGTCTCCGCCTCTGTGGCCACACGGCCTTCTCCTCCCTGTGGCTGTCTCCATGTATCTCCCCTCTTCTTATCAAGGACACCAGGCATTGGATTTGGGGCCACCCTAATCTGGTAGGACCTCATCTGAACTAGTCACATCTGCAAAGACCTTATTTCCAAATGAGGTGCTATTCTGAATTCCAGGTCGACATGAGTTTGGTGGGGACACGATTCAACCTAGTACAGAGAGGAAAAACACCTCAGTCCAGCAGAGCTAAGAATGAGATTTCATTTCAGCCCTGAGCCCAACACAGACTTGCCACCCGGTTGGATAGAAGTGAGGTGAGAGATGCACAAACAGGGGCCGGCTGAACACCCAGCACGCACCAGGCACCGGGATTCTCCACGCCACCTTCTGAAGCTCGGTTATCCTCACATAAGCCCGGCCTCTCCTGCCTCAGGGCCTTTGCACTTCCCCCTCCTGCATATCCTTCCTCCAGACCCTCACGCAGCTCCCTTCTTCACTTCATTCAGGTCTCTGCTCAAAGACCGCCTCTCAGGAACCAGTCAAACGGCTCCCCTGAGCACACAGTCCAAAAGCGCTGCCCCGCGATCACTTCTCCTAGCACCTGTCCTGACTCGTTTCTCCCCACCACACTCACTGGGTGATGCATTACATATGCCCCAAAGCAAAGCTGGTCTGGCTGCCGCTCCCTGCACAGTGCCTAGCCCATGGCCAGGAACATGAAAAGCACTGACCTAGAACGAATGAGTCCATGAAATTGCAGGCACCCAGTTTTGGGCAGGGAAACCTGAGGCTTGGTGGGGTGAGAGCTCCCACTCAAGGTCACCTAGCAGAGCAGAGATCAGCACAGGTGCAAGTTCTCCTGTGCAGGTCACTTCCATAATGCCACCTGGCTCCCTGCCCTCCCCTCCCTTCAGGCTACACCCACCCAGGACTCTGGGAGCAGCAGGTCTATTTCTGGACAACAGGCCCCTCCAGCCACGGGCTCAGGGCTAGCTCAGGGGTGTGCAGTCCTGGCTGGGGCCACTCTGAATGCTGGGACCAGGTGCCCGTCTCTAGCCAGGCCTGGATCAAGTGCCACCTTGAACCCCGATTCCAATCCCATAGGCTCAGCCCTCGCCTGAGCTGGGCCTGGACAGTCCTTTAATACTGACAGCACCAGTTCCCCTCCTTCCCCATCTTCAGACCATTCCAAGCACCTGCCCAGTCTCATCCAACACAAGCGAGTCACCTGGAGACCCCCCAGCAAACAGATGCCAGACCCAACAGGAAGGTCCTACCACATGCCACTAGGGCTGTTCTGGCCATGGATGGCTAGACTCTTCCTGGCTTGGGGCCCTTCTAAGCCCACACATAAAGGAAGACAGGCAGAAAGGTGGTCTGCTACAGTTAACAATAAAGCCAACCGACATTTTACTGAGCACTTCCCGTGTGCCCTGCTCTATGCTAAAAGCTTCACCTGCACCATTTCTTAGCTTCTTCCTAACCCAATGACACAGGTACTGTTCAGTATCCCTGCTTGAAAAACAAGCAACCTGAGGCTCGGAAAGAAACTGAACTGTCCAAGGATTCACGTAGGTTAGCCCGATCCAAAACCTGTGTTCTTAACTGCTACACTTCAATTAGGGCCAACTGGTAGACATGGCATGGGGGGTACATTTATTCAGTCCTTAACATGTGCTAAGCTGTCCTTTTCTCATGTAAAACTCAGAACAGTGGGTATTAGACCCATTTTCTGGACAGGGAAAACTGAAGCTCAGGGAGGTTCAATAACTTGCTCCAAGTCACAAGGCTAGAAACTGGGATTTGGACCCTAATCTACCTCTGCCTTATGATTCTGGGGCAACATGTCTTGGGTCATGCCAAGGCAGAATTCCTAATGGTGATTCTCTTGAGACAGAGAGATAGGGCAGCCTTGTGGAGAGCTCCCTGTCACTGGAGGACATGGGCAGGATGATCATAACACCTGGCACAGAGCAAGTGCTCAGCGAATGTAAAGAATTACTAAGTGAGCACAGACGATTTTCCGTACTCGTCGAGGATGGAAAAACACGGCCATCGGGAGCAGCTTTCCAGTCCTGCGAGGATGCCCACAGACGCGTCCCTGGACTGACAAGGCTAAGACGAATAAGCAGGTTCCCTGCTCTAAGAAATTTCAGAGATCTCACTCCTGGAAAGGCCCTGGCTGGCGTCTGAAGGAGTGTTAACAGGGCAGAGGCAGGAAGGAGCACGGCTGCGGAAACGGGAGAGCGGGCCTGGTGGAAGGGGCAGCCAGAGCAGGACTGACCGAGGCCCAGGGACAGAAGGGAGACCGTCCACCCCCACCGCCTGTGTCAGCTTGCTTCCGTGAACCCCAGCTTCCAGGAGCCGCCGCTGCTTCCTTCCAACCCTGGGGTTCCGGGAAGCTTTCGGGCTGGCTAGAGCCACCTGCGTACCCAGGAGCTGATTTGGGGCCAAATGCGTCAAGGAATCACGTCCCCGGTGGCCAGAGACCTAACCAATGAGTGGCGTGGGGACTGGAGGAGAGCAGAGCCTGAGGATGCTGCAAGGAGGGCTGTGATTGGTCCCCCAACCGGCCAATCACGAAGCTTTAAACGCGGAGCCGGTAGGAAGGCTGCCGAAGCCTGGGGCAGCCCGGGAACCACAGATTGGAGCGACAAGTGTCAGGGATGGGAGGGAGTTCAGGAGACCAGGAGGGGGAAATGAGGCAGTCTGAATGCCTTCAGGTACCTGGGGTAGTCAGCCCATTAACTGGGGTTTCTGAATGGATACTGGGCAGGTGGTGGGGGTACTGACTTCTAGACCAGAACTTGCAGCCACGTGTCTTTCAAATTTTTCTTTCCTCCTCCCAGTGGCTTCCAGGCATCCGACTTGTGCCATCCATTCGGCACGGTGCCAGCACCGAGGGCAGAGGCCAAGAAGGGCAGGGGCTCTGGAGCCAGCTGCCTGGCTTTCCTCCCTAGCATACCACTTACTGCCGAGGGACATTAGGCTCCAGCTGCCAAACAGACTACAGGACAGTCAGTTAAGTTTGAGTTTCTGATAAACAAGGGACAATTCTTTTGGTATAATTATGTCCCGTGCAACATTTGGGATATACTTATATTAAAGTAACTGTATTCATCTGAAATTCAAACTTAACAAGGCATTCTGTATCTTTATTTGCTAAACCTAGCAACCCTGCACAGCCTGGGGGAAATATTTCAACTTCTCTGTTCACCCTCCTCATCTCAAAATGAAGGTTAAGAGGAAGATGAAGTGATGGGGTGTCTGGGTGGCTCAGTCTTTAAGTGTTTGCCTTCGGCTCAGGTCATGATCCCAGGGTCCTGGGATCGAGCCCCGCATCGGGCTCCGTGCTCTGCGGGAAGCCTGCTTCTCCCTCTCCCACTCCCCCTGCTTGTGTTCCCTCTCTCGCTGTGTCTCTCTCTGTCAAATAAATAAATAAATAAATAAATAAATAAATAAATAAATAAATAAATAAAATCTTAAAAAAAAAAAAAGGAAGACGAAGTGAGTTAATGCTTACTTATTTACTCGCTCAGCATGGTGCCCAGCATGTGAAAAACCCTCTATGAATGTAACAACCATTATTCATGATCATGGCTGCCTGGGTAGTTACAGATCTACTCATGGCCATCCCTCCTGCTGGCTAAACCCAGCCTGAATGAGCAGGGAGCCTTCTTCATCTTTGCACCCCTGCACCCCAAAACTGGTCCAAGGACACCCCCAATCAATATTTAAAGAATGAATGACTATTCCACCCTCTCTGGCTTACACAAGTCAATGCAAGGAATGACACCTACCTGATCAAGATATTTCTTCCACACGGGTTCGGTGTTATCAGCGACAAATTCATTCCAGCCATGGACCTGTCTCCGTTGCGACACCGAGAACTCAGACAGCCCATTTTCTAAGTCCACCTGGAACGACACGGTTAAGCACGGCTCACCTATGGGCCCCGAGCGACCAGGGTGCCCACCTCACAGAACTCCCACTTCAGAAGCCAGTCGCGTCCAAAATGGACCAGGAAATTGGATTGTCCACAAAGGAGAAGGAACTTGTTCAAAGACCCCGAGCAAATAGGAACAGAGAGAGAAGGAACACCCACAGGCCAGTTCTTTCTCAATTAGACTGCACTTCTGGGCCATAATTACAGCAGAAAAGACAACCTTAAGCCTAAATTTCAATGAGTGGGATTGTAGCAGGGAATTCCAGAAATACAGAAACACTGTATTTTCTTCTTAAAAAAAACAAAACAGGCCTTGGAAACCTGAAATGCTGCCGCTGCTATACATCATGGTATGGGGATTCCTCAAAGAATTAAAAATAGGATCCCCACACGATGCAGCAGTTACCCTTCTTGGTGAAGAGATACCAAAAGAGGTGGGTCTCGAAGGGATGTGTGGACACCCATGTTCACAGCACTGCTATTCTCTCTTTTTTTCCCCAAAGGTTTTTATCTATTTATTTTAGAGAGAGAGAGAGAGTATGAGTGGGGGGAGGAGCAAAGGGGGAGGGAAAAGGAGGGGGTTAAGAATCTCAAGCAGATTTCCCTGCTGAGCGTGCAGGCGGATGACACAGGGCTCCATCCCATGACCCTGAGATCATGATCTGAGCTGAAACCGAGAGTTGAGTCAGAGGCTTAACCAACTGAGCCACCAGGCGCCCCTAGCAGCGCTATTCTCAATAGCCAAGAGGTGGGAACAGCCCAGGGGCCCCGTGGTGGCTGAGTACACCAGTTAGGAAAAGGCGGACTATACGATCCCACTTACATGAGGTGGCTCGAGTAGTCAGATTCCCAGAGGTGAAGAGGCGGAGGCGGGTGCTAGGGGCTGCGTGGTGTGCAGCAGGGAGTTCCTGCTTCATGGGGACAGAGCCTCAGTTTTGCAAGATGCAAAGAGCTCTGGAGGCTGGCTGCACAAAATGGGCTCAATACTCCTGAACTGTACATCAACAATGCTTAAGACGGCCGATTTTACATTGTGCATTTTACCATAATTAAAAATTAAAAAGAAAACAACAGAAAAAAGGCCCCTCCTTAGAAACAATAGCTAAAATTATTATATCGTACATACACTGTGCCAGATACAATTTCAAGCCCTTTACACAAACTAATATTAAATTGATAATTATGTAAGGCAACTTTGTTGTTCTGGTTGCAGCAAAGGTATCTTTGTTTTTAAAAAGTCGGCAACAAGAAAGTTGTACGGGGTGAAAGAGATGACAGGGAAAGCTGAACTGATTTCTAGATTCATTTCAAGAGAGAAAGAAAACCAAACTTGTTTGCTGGACAGGGAAGACGTCTAGGTGAGGCGAGACTATTTCCTTCCCTTAATACTAACAAGCAGGACTTGACTTTAAACAGATGTTTGAATTACTCTCAAGAAAACGCTGGCATGATGGGGCGCCTGGGTGGTTCAGTCGGTTAAGTGTCTGACTCTTGCTTTTGGCTCAGGTCATGATCTCAGGGTCATGGGAACGAGCCCCACGTCAGGCTCTGGGCTGGGTATGGAGCCTGCTGGGGACTCTCTTTCTCTCCCTCTGCAACCCCCCCCCCCGCCTCTTTCTTTCCAAAAAAAAAAAAAAGAAAGAGACAGAGAGAGAGAGAGGAATGAATGGAGGGAGGGAGGGAGGGAGGGAGGAAGGAAAAAAGGCTGGCACGAAACACTGATTTCTAATTGTCTTGAGAGTGTGGCCTATGCCCCTTTATTAGTGGATTTTTATTTGCTTTTCCAAAGTGTGGTGGATTATGCGTAAATACACACACAGACACACAGACACACAGACACACACACATCACTATGCTCAGTTTTCTAAGTAAATTAAAAACAGAAGACAAGCAACATTCTTTAGCCTCAGAGAAGAGCGTCGTGGAGGGAAGGTGTTGTTCGGTTGGGTGTTTGTGTGTGTGTATGTTTTCTTGCACTGGCCAGGAAATCAAATTCACTTGAGAAACATGTATGTGTTTGGTTTCAGTAACTGCAAACACCCTGGATTATATAGGAGGAAGTGTGTGAACAGGGGGTGATTAAAAGTTTGAACTTTCATGTCAGACCACCTGGAGTCAAGTGTCACTGTGCTCCTTTGGAACCATGTGGGTTCCCATGTTCTCTGGGTCTCCGAGTAAGAGAAACAAGGATATAGAGATGGGGGAGGGTGACTGTCCTCTGGCAAGGGCCCCATGAGGGTTGGTTCCGTTGACAACGATGATGATGACAGTCCACGTGGGATATCAAAACAGGTCAACATCAGCAGCATTTTCTAGCAATGATGATAAAAATGTATAATTTGTGTTGCTTTCTTCTGAAGCTAAAAACCTTACCATACTAGCCTCAAAGGCAAATTCAATTCTTACATAAAATGCTTTGGCCAAATCTTCTTTGTGGCATTTGCTTGCCTCCTTGGGTGACAGGGCAGCAACTGTTTTCTCTTTTTCGATGGCTTTCAATTCACACTGCCCACCAATCTGTGAAAGAAGTAGGATTGCTGTTAAGTGAATTGTAATTTTGTACTGATATGCTGTTTTCAAAGTATTAATGTACACAGAGAAAATGCACATATCTTAAGTACGGCTCAAATTCTCACAAACTGACCCATACAGCCAGCCTCCAAATCAAGAAACAGACATTACCAGCCCCTAGAAGCAACTCGTGCTCCCCTCCCACTGGAGGAAGGGTTATGGCTGTCATGGTCTCTGTCACCCTAGGTGAGTCTGGCCAGGCTTGAACTTTATATATAAAAAGTAACCTGCAGTAGCTACTCTCCCATGTCTGCCTCCTTCCACTCAGCGGTGTTAGTGAGATTCATGCATGACCTGCATGCAGGGATGGCTGCTAATTTTCATGGCTCTTTAGTATTCCACTGACTGAGTCTATCACAATTTATTTGTGTTCTACTCTTGATGGACCTTTGGGTTGTTTCCAGTTATTATTATTGATGCATCTATTTTTAAGCAAACTTATTTAACAGACAGGAATGTATCAAGCTGACAGAGGAGGGCAATAATGAACACATTTAGAATCCTGATTCCTGAACTTGTGGGATCTTGGTCAAGTATGTGCCACATTGTAGAGGAAGCTCCCTGATGATGATAGGTGATATCACAGCCTGTTCTGTGTTTCATCTGCAATAACCCAAGGGAAGGGAGGAACCCAGCTGAGTTCTGGGTATCTGGCAGGCCTGGGAAGCAGTCATATGAAATACCTGAAGGGCATGGGAAGACACCATAGCACAGGAGATCTCAATCAGGAAAATGCTAGGTATTTTTGCAAAGTGATTCCTAGTATTCCAATCCTCCAGGACATGATAATCATCTTTTCCTTTTCCAGCAGGTTGTCAGGCACTGGGAAGGAGGAAGGGGAGGGAGTCAGTGGCCAACCTCTTCCTTCAGCTAGAAGAGAGATGGCAAATTCCCCTCTTCCTTCTTGCTGGCCCCACATCCCCAATAGGGTCTCCCAAATGCCTTGTTGCTTAGAAACGCTATGCCAACCACATCCACTTCCTGGGATTGTTCTCACTTGTGCCGTGACCACAAAGCACGGACATGATTACATTCAACAGGCGCCCCCAACTTTCATGAGCTCTCCTTAGGTCAGCGTTTAAGAGTATCGTGCATCACAAGGGCGCCTTGGTGGCTCAGTTGGTTAAGCGACTGCCTTCGGCTCAGGTCATGATCCTGGAGTCCCGGGATCGAGTCCCACATCGGGCTCCTTGCTCAGCGGGGAGTCTGCTTCTCCCTCTGACCCTCTTCCCTCTCGTGCTCTCTCTCTCTCATTCTCTCTCTCTCAAATAAATAAATAAAATCTTTAAAAAAAAAAAAAAGAGTGCATCACAAAACGAGACAGAACTTTTTTTTTCTGTTCATAAGCTCTGGTTCCGTCACCCCAAATCAGACACTCCGTTCTTGTTCACACCACACGTGGACTCAGTCCTGCCCAGCTGGCCATTCCTGGTCTTGCCATTTCTTTCTGGCCATAACCACACCCAATTTATTTTTTATATAGCATCGGAATGACCCTGAAAATCATAAATCCAGTCCCCCTGCCCCGCCCCCACCCCACACACATGCACCATGCTTGAAACATTGAATAGATTCTACTTGCTGTCAGGATAAAACCCACGGTTTTCCATATGGCTGCAGCAGACCCCACCTCATGTCCACCCTCCTGCTAAAACCCTAACTCTTAGACCCATGAAACACAATGCTGCCTGTTGGAGGAGTCCTGTGTCCCCCAGGAATAGGCTGCTCCAGGGCTCCTGCGGGGGTCCTGGTGGCACATTCATGGTCACGACACTGTTACTTTCAATCAGGGGTTCTCAGCCAGGGGCAGCTTTGTCTCCAAGAGACTCTGGCAATGTCCGGAGACCATCACTGGGGGACAGGGGTGCTGCTGACCAGAGTGAGTGAGTGGAGGTCAGACGGGCTGCCAAGCATCCTACATGCATTGGGCACGCAAAGAATGACGTGGTACAAAACCTCAGTAATGCAGAGGGTGAGAAACCCCGTGTTAGACATGGAAAGATTACTCTGTCTTGATGTCTTCCCAGGCCAGATCAGAGCCCGCTCCCCCCTCTCAGCATCCTGGACCTCTCCCTGATGGCACCTGTACAACTGCCAGCAAGAGAGTATCACTGAAATGCCGCTATCCGCGGACAGTGCGGCCACTCTGCAGGGTGGCAACCAGTGCCTGGGACGTGGGGAGTGAGCCACGAGCATTTCTCAGTCATAGCAGAGGGCACCACTCGAAAGGCGCACGCCCTCAACTCCACTGAATGGATGACTGGATGCATGCTCTCAGCCACAAGCCTCAGTTTACCCTCACCCTAGTGTTGCCCAGGTCACAGCCCAGCTCCACTTGCCAGCACGTCCCCTCAGGCAAGTGACAACCTCTCTGATCACAATTCCCTCATCTGCAAAATGGGGATGATGATGCCTCCCTCATAGTGCTTTTGTAGAATCGAGCAAGCATGGGCACGTGGAGGCCTTGATGCGGTCTAGACCCACCTCCTTTCTGGGCTACACATTGGAGACGTACGCACTCACTTCTCTCATTCACTATAGTGGAGCTTAGGAAGGAATTGTCTACACTTGCCCTCTGGCCTCCCATCTCCTTCCCAACCCACTTTGGCCAGCCCCCTCCCGGGTTCCACGGCTGCTGGGGCATGGGGCATGGTGTGGACCAGAACACCATCAGTCAGGGCTCACTGTATCTCGCTGTGGGGCTGTCAGTTTCAGAAAGCAGAGCCCTTGGATACGGGGGTGAGCACATGCCCCCTGAGCCCCACCTGCGTGCGGGGGACCTCTGCCTGGGATGCTCACATGTGGCTGGCTCACTCCCTCTAGAACACACACTCATCCACGTCCATCTGGTGAGAATCCCAGCACGTGGCCACTGCCACTAGAGTGGCTCATCCTGACTGAGGTCAGGCGCTCTCTCTGGGGGCACCCCTGGTCCTCGCTTCCCATCAAACCTGATGCGGGGGGCAACTCTCCCTTCTCCTTTATTCTCTCTTTTTTAATTAAGATGAAATTCACATAACATAAAATTAACCATCTTAAAGGGAACAATTCTGTGGTATTTAGTATAGTTCCAATGTTAGGCAGCCACCCCGTCCATCTAAGTTCCAAGACATTTTCATTCCCTCAAAAGGATAGCTGGGGTGCACGATCGATTGGTCACCCGCCTCCACCTCCCCCAGCCCCTCGCTGCTGCCACCGATCTTCTGTCTGTCTCGAGGGATTTACCTATTCTGCATATTTCATATAAATAGAATCATACAATATGTGATCTTCTGTGCCCCCTGGGTGATGTCCAAAGTGTTGTTTGCCCATGGCAAAGAGACCCACGCGCGCCTGCCAGGGCTGGTGATGATGTGGGGCCTTCCCAACCCCTAAGGAAATGGTCTGGAACTTAAGGACTTAGAGTGTTCTTAGGGTGTTTTTACTAAGCAAAGATGGCTCAGAGCTGACGTTTAACCTAGGGGTGGCTTCCAGAGGAGCCACCAAGGGCAAATACGACATTTGCTGAAAGATGAGTTGGCTGACAGAGTGAGCTGGGAGCTCACTGCGGGGCAGGTGCTCACGTGGCACCTTGCAGGGCAACCAGCCTACGCTGAGACAGAAGCCAGGCTTTCTCTGCCTTCCCGTCTAGCTCAGGGGATTCAGTTCATTGCAAACACTTACTGAGTTAGACCCCAGTGATTGCTTCCCTGTTTAAAGGGCTTAGACATTGATTTCTTTAAGATATTTGTCCAAAACCTCCCCCGTGCCTCCATTTCTCCCTCTGGAAAGAGAGGGTTTCAATAGCAGAGACTCATAAGGTTCCGGGGGCTAATAGAAAACTGGACATGGAGCCCCAAGTGCAGCGTCTGGCCCCTGGGAAGCATAAGTGAACAGAAAGAAGGGGAGCTTGCCAAATATTGCACAGGACACACATATACTAAAACATTACTCACTCTTTATCAGAAATGCAAACGCAACTGGGTATCTGTGCAAATCTGGTGACACTGGGAAGGAACAAGCCGAGAGACACTCATGCCCCAGGTGGCAGTGTTGTGATGGGGACACCTCATTCTAGAAAGGAGACATGCAGGGGCGCGATTCAGAGTGGGGGTGGGGCTCAGGCCTTGAAGAAGGTAGAGGAGTGAGTTCCCTAGGAGGGAAGAGGGGACCAGCTGGGCTCTGGAAGAAAAGGCGGGAAGGTGCCAAGCAGAGCAAATGGTCCATTTGGGGAACCCCACGTGCCCTGAATTAGTGACAGAGTGAGGCTCTGACAGGTTTCAGAGGGAGGGAGGGAGCCAGAGAGGAAGTCAAGGGCCCAGGGAGCCACACAGCCCTGACTCTTCAAGAATTTCATAATGTGGGTGGATGCAGTCATTGGAATCAAGGCACTTAGGGAGGAACAATGTAAGGGTCACAGTAACCCAAGAACAATCAGGCAGCCAGGGTCATTAAGGAGGTGACATTTGAGAGGAGGGGCAAATGACCCAACTCAATGCAAATTCTTCCTTCTTTCCCAGACTTGTGCAACGGTCTCTCCTAAGGCACATGTCTGTGAATTACCCGGTTATGCATTAGCCTGGTGGTTCTCAATGAGTGGTCCTCAGGCCAACATCACCTGGAACATGTTAGAAAGGCAGATTCTCAGGCCCTACCCTGGATCTAATGGATCAGAAACTCTGGGCATGGATCCTGCAATCTGTGCTTTAAGAAGCTCTCCAGGGGACAGCCCTGCACTCCAAAGTTGGAGAACCACTGGGGTCTTGTAAAAATACATTACTGTGGCCTATCCCCAGGCCAACCAACTAAGGGGTAGCATGCAGCCAGCAGGAGTCCTAAAAGCCCCCCCCCCTTTTTTTTGGTGATTCTAATATGCAGCCAGAGCTGAGCTGAGGATGCCTAGCTGGGAGATGCACTCAAAGAGCAATTCTATACGGTCCTGGTCTTAAGGGGCCGCCATCTTAGAGAGGGAAGGCCAGGGCCAATGGACCGAGCACCAGACTGGGAGAGCTGTGGAGTCAGTTCAAGCAGGGAGGGTTCCTTCTGCTTCCTGGGGGAGGGGTGAGGACGAGACCTGAGGCAGCAGGTGCCCCCACATCCTTCTAGAAGTTGGGCAGACAAGAGAAGGAGATGCCCAAGGAAGGGGGGGCTGAGAACAGTTAACAGGTCATAATGAGGATAATATATCACAACCCCAGCAATAACATGTAATGCAATGATGCAGCAGATATAACAGCTAACATTTTGATATCAGACATCTTACCCAGCATTTGACATCCACAATCTCATTAAATCATCCCTGCAGCCCTTTGAGGTGGGTGCACTTTGTTTGTTTGTTTTTTTAAAGATTTTATTTATTTATCTGACAGAGAGAGACACAGCGAGAGAGGGAACACAAGCAGGGGGAGTGGGAGAGGGAGAAGCAGGCTTCCCGCGGAGCAGGGAGCCCGGTGCGGGGCTCCATCCCAGGACCCTGGGATCATGACCTGAGTCGAAGGCAGACACTTAACGACTGAGCCCCCCAGGCACCCCAAGGTGGGTGCACTTTTAATCCCCATCCCACAGACGAGGAGATGGCTAAACTGGCCGCCTCCCAGACCAGCACTTTGTCACTGTGCCATAAAAGACGAGAAAACATCTTGGCAGGAATTGTGCTGAGCAAAGGGCAGAAGGGAGAAAGCACATAGAGAAACACGACTTTCTGGAACCCCCAAGGGGAGTAGGGGTAGAGGCTGGTGGGAGCAGGAGAGACGCTGAGCCTGAATGATGCCCCCCAGGAGATGCCCCTGTCCTGATCCCTGGAGCCTGTGACCATGTGACCTCACATAGAAAATGGGACTTTGCAGGTGTCCTGAACGAGATCTTCAGCTGGGGAGGTGATCCTGAATGATCCGGACGGGCCCCAGGTGCTCACAGGGTCCTTGTCAGAGGGACGCAGTAGAAAGGAGGCGTGAGGACAGAAGCAGGGGGCGGGGAGGCAACAGGATTCCCAGCACTGAAGGTGGAGGAAGGGCCACAAGGCAAGGGATGTGCGCCACCTTCAGAAGCTGGAAAAAGGCGAGGGAACAGATTCCTCCCGGAACCCCCGCAGAAGGATCGCAGCCCTGCCCACACCTCGATTTTATCCCAGGGAGACCCGTGTCGGACTTCTGACCTCCAGGACTGTGAGGCAATGAACTTGTGTGTGTGTGTTTAAAGATTTTATGTATTTCTTTGAGAGAGAGAGAATGAGACAGAGAGAAAGCACATGAGAGGGGGGTAGGGTCAGAGGGAGAAGCAGACTCCCCGCCGAGCAGGGAGCCCGATGCGGGACTCGATCCCGGGACTCCAGGATCATGACCTGAGCCGATGGCAGTCGCTTAACCGACTGAGCCACCCAGGCGCCCTGAACTTGTGTTGTTTTAAGCCACTTGTGTTGTTTGTGGTCATTTGTTAAAGCAGCCCAAAAACACTGACACACCAGCCACCACGGGCCCCACAAGGAACCCATGCTCTGAGCTCCCAGACTCCCTGTCCTCCCTGCAGGCTGCACACCGCAGATCCACCTGCCCACCTCCAGCACTGGACCTACAGCCACACGGGGGAGCGGCTGCCCAGATCGGTGTACACCCAAGTGCCCCGCACAGCGCTGCAAACAAAAGGTACTCAAAAATGTTTGTGGGAGGGAGGGAGGGAAGCGGGGAGGGAAGAAGGGGCACACAGTGGAGCCGCCTGGAAGGTCTCCATACCCTCAGGTGCCGGGAGCCACGCCAGGACCAGGACGGGAGGGAGGGTTGCCAAGGACAGGAGCCTGTGCGGACGGCCAAGGGGGCAGCAGCTGGAGGTAGGGTCACACGTTACGGAACGAGTGCTCCCAACTCAATGGGCTTCCCCTTGGAAGCCGAGAAAATGCCCCGCACCGTGGCCAGTGCATCCAGCCCGAGTCCTCTGCTGAGTGTCCCCTCTTCAAGCCTTTGTTGGTCCCCTCCCCAACCACTCAAGGTGTGCAAGAACCCAGGCCTGGTGCCTCAGGAAAGCAGACATGGTCCTTGCCCTAAATCGAGGAATTACACAGGCAAGTTGGTTCAAAAGAATAATCAGGACAATTAGGAACAATTAAGAGAAACCACGAAAGTACGAGAAGAAATCACGGACTATGTTTTTTGTTTTGTTTTGTTTTAAATCTCAGCACGAAAAGGACTTTCTGAGCCCAAGACAAAGGCAGAATGGGATTGTCCTCTGCAAGGTCCGAAGACAAACACCACGCTGGGGAAATTACCTGTGGTTCCTAACACTGACGATGAATAATTCTGCGCACAAACCAAGAGCTCTGACTCATGAAGGAGCAAAAGACCACCAGCTCATGTTTTTACAAAAGGGACGCAGGATATTAACTAAAAGTTCCCAGAAAGGAGGCGATAGCTTCGACATGTAAAGAGAGACTCCAACTCACCGAAAACCAGAGTGCGTCTGAAAACAGCCCGAGGGCATCACCTGTCTCCTGGGGGAGGTGCAAGTCTGGCACCCAGTGCCAGGGGACAGAGCTTTCAGAAAGGAATCGGGCAGTCTCGGGCTCTAAAACTGCCCAGTTCCAGCAATCTCTTTTTCCCACTTATTAACTGCAGCGCAGTACCTGTTCAAAGTCATCCACGGCAATCCTGTTCACAACATCCAACTTTTGGAAACCCCCGTG